GAACAAAGCAATTTAAAAAGATGCCAACAGTGTGGGGCGACTGATTCAGATTTCTGGCTTATAAGTCTTTCAATTTCCACTGAGGTAAACTTAAACACACACACACACACACACACACACACACACACTAAACTCTGAAGTGATGGGTGACTGCCACCAAGTTTTGCTTGAGCACTGAAGGAGAATAAACTCACCTGCACAGGGAACCAAAATACACACACAGTTTAGATTTCCTTCACACACATAGCTGTGTGAGAAAAGCCTTGTTTGATTGTGCCCCTGTGCTGTGTGAATATTAAAACCAGAGCCCTTTTCGGTCTTTACCACCCTGCGCATAGCAGACTGCTCTCTGTGTCATCCTCTCAACATGCACAGTCACCATGTTGTGTGAACCAGGTGCATAGTCTCCAGCTTTGGCTTGTATGACCAGAAGCCCAGATTACTTGAGGGCATTGGCTCATGCGCAGGGAAGCTGGACAATATATGTGTTAGCCTGTTTGCACAAAATGGCAACTGCGTGTATCTGGAAGCTCACGGTTGTGCTCTCTGGAGTTAAGCAAGGTTGGAGTGCCGATACCATAACAGAAAAGGGTTCATGTAGACAAGCCAAAGTGTGGGTCTTTCTACTCTAACTGCCACTTTCCCTTTCAATGGGTTGCTCATCAGGAAAGAGAGATCACGCAACAAGCCTCGTCCCTGAGGTTACGATATCCCCACATGACATAGCTACCTGGGGTAATCATCTTGAAAGACCTACATTTGGTGAATTTGTGAAAAGGCCATGTGCTGTTACACGTCCGGTAACTGAGGGCCCGCTTTCACCAGGCAAATAGCTTTCATGTTCACAGCTAACAACAAATGTACGTGAGGTACCTAAAAGCCACTGCAAAGTCACAGCTGAATCCAGGGGTCATTTCGTAGAAAAAGAGCTAGGGGAACTCATTAGCATAACTCATTAGCATATGCCACACCCCCTGACATCACCGGAAGTGTGTCATAAGGCCACACCCCCTGACATCACTGGAAATGTGTCATAAGCCCACACACCCCGCTCCCAATGGTCCCGGCTGCCACCGCCGGCCTTGCAGCTCCACTGCCGAGCCCCATGAGGGACCCGGCGGTGGACCTGCAAGGCCGGCGGGAGTGCGAGGAAGCCCCGCGAAGGCCCTCCCTGGCCCCAGGCAGGCTGGGGTGGGGAGAGGCAGGGAGGAAGCAACTTACCCTCCCTCTTCTCCTGCCTCCTCCTGGCTGAATGAGGGCTGGGAGCCGGGTGGCCGGAAGCAGGGGGCAGGGCTTCGTCATGTGCCCCGCCCCCGTACCTCACCCGGGGGAACTGCGTTCCCTCGCGATCCCCCCCGAAATGACCTCTGGCTGAATCAATATGAGTCAGGGAAACAAAATCGTTTTAGCAAGTCTGCGCTATGCATTCTGAGTAATCAAATAATGGTCCTAGAAAGCAAAGAGTCCCAATACAAACTCTGTCATGTATGATTGTCATAAACTGCTGGGAATTATTGCAGCTTTGTGGTGTTAAACCATCAGAAACGATGTATGAGTGTTCTTATAATTTCCACTCTAATTTCCATTGGGGCTTCCAGCACACTAGGAAGGGAGAAAAAACCCTGCCTGAAGTCAAAAGGCAAAAGGTTTTGTTGCTCACAGGCAGGCATTTGTAGAAAATGACTGTCTTTCTGAGGTACTGAGATATACAATCGCTAACGACTGCTCAGTATCTCTGGAACCCTGACATTTATTCTGGCGAGACACAATTTATTATTTGCCGTCACTTTCCCCCGTTTTGTTGGTTAAAAGGCTAGTTTCAAGTGAACGAAGTGGCAAGCGAATGCTCTTCCTTTCTGTAAGTCTGCAGGTCTTACCTCAGGGCCGGCAGGGCTTTTTTTCTGGGGGGACATGCCAGAACGGAGTTCCGGCACCTCTTTGACAAAATTCTTTTTAAACTGTCTAAAAGTTCATGACTTTTCAATATACAGACTGAAAACTTCATTTCCCTCCAAGACCTCTTAAAAAAAAATAGTATATGCCAATAAAGGTGGACTGACTGACTGACCGACCCCCCCCCCAAAAGGCCCTGAGTGCCTTTATTATTTCTGCGGCAGCGGAACTGTTGTGGCTCAGAGGACATGTGTCAACGGTAGAACCGCGTGTGTAAAGAAGGGAGCTGTGAGCATCATTTTCTGAACTGCAAATCCAGTCTCAAAGAACAGCGCTGTGCGGGTAGTCGTTAATATCCTAGACATCTGCTCCACTCCTTACAAACATTACTGGCATGTCTTTATCGCTAAGGATAGGAGATTGAAATGTCTGGCCCAGCTATTTGTTGGAACTAATTATTAATCTTATTAACAGGCAGCCGAAAACTTGCTTGCTGGCAGAATCAGATAAACGACTGCTTTGGTATTTTCCTTTGCTTCCACTTATCAAGGAATTATGCCAAAATATTCAGTCAGCAGTTCACATATATAGGGCTACATAGCTGTAAACCGAGGCATTGGTAGAATTTGTTTTAATAGAATCTCATACTTCGTTGTGAACTCTGGTTTTGCAATAGGCCTTGAATGCATATGTGGATGAATGAATTAGCAGAATTAAACACGGCTTGACTGACTCAGCCAGGGTTTGGCCTAGGGAAAGGCCCTTACAGTTTCTGTTCTGCATATGTGCGCACGTTTTCTCTTATTTGATCCAGGCACCAGAGAAATTGTGATACTTCGGGAGCCAGTGCAATATAGTGGTTAGTGTGTAAGAGGAGAATATGGAAGACCCAGATTAAAATCCCCGCTTGGCCATGGAAGCTTGCTGGATGACTTTGGACCAGTCATACACTCTCAGCCTAACCTACCTCACAGAGTTGTTGTGAGGTTAAATCGAGGAGAGGAGAATCATGTAAGTCACTTTGGGGTCCCACTGGGGACAAAGGTAGAGTTGCCCACTCCAGGTTAGGAAATTCCTGGAGATTTGGCAGTGGAGACTGGGGAGGGCCAGGTTTCAAGGTAGGGAGAGACTGCAGCAGGGTAAAATGCCATAGAGTCCATCCTCCAAAGATGACATTTCATCCAGAGGAACTGATCTTGTTGTTTGGAGATCGCTTGTAATTTTGAGAGATCTCCAGGCCCCAATTGGAGGTTGGCAACCCTATGTATAAATGGAGTCAATAAATACCTTGAGAATTGCCTTTTATCTAGTAACCTAAGCGACAACAGGGAAAAAAATCTACAGTCTCTTAGATTTACAGTGTCACTGTCAGGGCTATTTTTGGGCAGGAACGCACAGGAACGGAGTTCCGGCTGGCTCCTGAGGTGGCCACGCCCAGCAGGAACTCATTAGCATAATAGGCCACACCCAACAGCAGAAACTCATTAGGATTGGCTACATCAGGGGTGTGTGGCCTAACATGCAAAGGAGTTCCTGCTACAAAAAAAAGCTCTGAGTTTTGACAACAAACAAGGTAAACAGAATAAGAAGCAAAAGGTGGGTGTGGCTGGATGACCACACTTCTGGTAACACGTGGGTGCGGCCTAACATGCTAATGAGTGGTGCTGTCAGGGGTGTGGTCCAATACGCTAATGAGTTTCTGCTATTGGGTGTTGCCTATTATGCTAATGAGTTCCTGTTGGGCTTTTTCTACAAAAAAGCCCTGATAAACACCACATGTATTTTTTAAAAATGGAATTAAGTGAACAACAAACTGTTTTTGAACTCACGAGGCTGCCTTATCCTGAATCAGACCTTGGTCCATCAAGGACAGTATTGTCTATTCAGACTGGCAGTGGGTCTCCGGGGTCTCAGGCAGAGGTCTTTCACATCACCTACTACCTAATCCCCCCAACTGGCGATATTGAGGATTGAACTTGGGACCTTCTGCGTGCCAAGCAGATGCTCTACTACTGAACCGTGGCCCCTTCCCCTTATTTATTTAGATGCCCGAAAGGATGTCTAAAAACATCTAAATGAAGAGCACTTCAGAAAAGCAGGAGTGCTATTTCCATACATCCAGACTGCTACCCACAGACAAATGCATGGCAGGAGTTCCTGGAGCTCCATAAAATGATTTTGGGACACTTTGCAGGCTCTGATAAATTGCTGGCTCCCCTACGTTTATGGTAAACTGGAACTAATAAACAGAGAACCATGAATACCAATAATTTATAATGTTTTCAATAACTGAGGTCTGGATAGCTGGAGTTCTACTCTAGATGACAGACCAATTTGAAACCTTGCTATGGAAGGTGGGGTGCAATAGCAACCCCCTCCCAAGTCTTGGCAAACACAGGGCCTGGAGGTTGCACAGAGCATATGTCATGTAATAAGAATCAAAGCTGCCATGACAGGTAGGAACAATTGCAAAATCCCCAGCAAGGAGCCTCAGTTCCTGGCTTAGGGCTTTTCCACATTCTTATTTCTCTTATTTCCTGTCTTCTCAGGGCATATTTCCTGTTCTGCACGAGTTTTGCTCCTTCTAGTGGTCGATTTGATATTACACTCGGTTATGTCCAGCATATCTCCCTGTGGATATAAACTTCAGGGTTTATGCAGGACATTACCAGACGTAACATCAAACTGACCACTAGAGGGAGCAAGGCACGGGCAGAACAGCCCCCCCCCCCGGCCGAAAAAGGAACGTAACAAGTGAGGAAAATGAGAACTCAGAAAAGCCCTTAGAGTATGGTCACAGGAGAACAAGAGGGCTGCACCAGATGATCGGCCAAACGCTGATATTGCGTTAGGAAAGTAAAAATGTATTATATGTGGATACTAAATGTAATAATACATAATACATATTTACTTTCTCACTGCACTACCTGCATTTCGCTTTGCTTTCTTTCGTCTTAGACGATGGTAACCCATGGCAGATAGTCCCCTGTGTTGTTACACGGCCAACGGGTTGTGAGGTTTCCCAGCTCCCAGTCTTCCTGGGGACCTCAGTGTTGTCAATGTTTCCCTGGCGGGTTGTCTCTCCAGCAATAGAAGGGTATGGGAAAGCTCCTTTGGATAGCTTCCTTCATGCAGAACGCTTGCTGGGAGTGTTTAAACTGAAAACGAGATCCCCTCCCCACAGGCCTGTGCTCCCATTCCCTTAGAACGCGAATGGCCCCACCGACATTGTGCTGTTTTCCGGCTCAGATCGGTAAAAAGGCAGCTGAACGAAGGAAAGACGCGTTCTCGCTCACCCTTCCGTTTTATGTCTGCGATTGCGAAGATTCGTTTATATCCGCTTTGGTAAAAATGTGAGCGTCGGAAGGGTCAGAGTGTCTTGAAGACGAAGGGGAGGGGGGGAAGAGCGTTAGACGTTTTGCGTCTGCATGGCTTCCTGGGGCCACCTGTAATGATCGACGGCAAAGGAGTCGTAGTCGGGGCTGTAAATGAGAGCTCTAACGAAGGCTTCTTTGTCTTCAGGTTCTGGGTACCAGGAGGCCAAGTTGTGTTTGTAGGCATAGTCAACGATCTGAAACAAGGAGGAGGAGAGAAGACGGTGGCTAGAGCATCGGGTTTGGACTTGTAATTCAACAGGAGTTTGGAGCTGGGGAGTTTGGAGCATGAGCCTGCTCAGCTCAGGATGCCTGGGCTAATTAGGAGCTGAATGTTGGCCCCACACCTCCAGCCCTCCTTACCTCTGCAGCCACCCTCTCCCATACCTGGTGGCACTGATGAGGAGGACTAAAGCAGCACACCAGGGATCCTGTTATTTGGGAACCGGCTCCTGTAGTGTTGCAGGGCCTACTCAGGCTATAGCAGCTACTACAGCAGCTAGTAAAAAGGTAAAGGTTCCCTTGCTCAAAAGCTAGTCGAGTCTAGGGTTGCGGTGCTCATCTCCGTTTCCAAGCCGAAGAGCCAGCACTGTCCGAAGACGTTTCCGTGGTCATGTGGCCGGCATGACTAAAGACCAAGGCGCACGGAACGCTGTTCCCTTCCCACCGAAGCGGTCCCTATTTATCTACTTGCAATTTCTTGCTTTCGAACTGCTAGGTTGGCAGGAGCTGGGACTAGAGACGGGAGCTCACTCCGTCATGCGGCGACCCAGGTCTCGAACTGCTGAACTACTGACCTTCCACAGCCTGCAGTTCAGCGTCTTAACCACTTGAGCCACCGCAGCTCCAGCACAGCAGCTAGTACACTTTGCTAAAAAGAAAAGAGGGGCTTGCAACACACAACGCTGCCCTTGACTGAATTAGACCAGTGGTCCATAAAGGTCAGTACTGTCTGCTCAGACTGGCTGCAGGGTTTCAGGCGGAGGTCTCTCACATCACCTACTGCCTGGTTCCTTTAACTGGAGGTGCCGGGGATTGAACCCGGGGCCTTCTGCATGCCAAGCAGATGTTCTGCCACTGAGCCATGGTCCCTCCCCCTGTTCCTAGTGAGTTGGTGGCTGAGCTCACAAGAGTATTGGTCTGATCATGTTCCTAGGGACATCACCTACACCCAGAAGTAAGATCATTTAGACCCAACCAGAATCAGGTTTGAGAAAGCTCATCCAAATGCAGCTTCAGACACAGCTGGGCCAAGGCTCAGATCCCATTTTGCCGTCCACCGAATCTCTGGCAGCTGGGGGTAGGGGTAGGGTGGGACTTCAGTGCCATACTTTTGGGAAGCGAAATGTGTATGTACCATTTACCAGTTTTTTTCTTTCTGCAGCATCATTCTTTGAATTGTATTTCATGTCTGTTTGTTACAAGCGGAGCCAGTTCCAGATTTTTAGGGGCCCTGGGCGAAGAGTGCCCGGACAGCTGCCCCACTTCGGGACCCTGGCCTGAGTTACAAGCATAGTTCAGTGCCCGGATTCCTGTGGGTAGCTTGAAAAGTTCACAAATAAATTTTTTAAAATGGGCCCAATTTATATTTTACGGTGGTACAACTGTGCGCTGAGAGGGAGAACGCCAGATACGAGTGTCTTCCTGCTCATCCCAGATGAAGCAGAAGAAGAGATTGGATATATACCCTGTCCTTCACTACCCAAAGGAGTCTCAGAGCAGCTTACAATCCCCTTCCCTTCCCCTCCCCACAACAGACACCCTGTGAGGTAGGTGGGGCTGAGAGAGCTCTAATAGAACTGTCCTTGAGAGAACAGCTCTGAAAGAGCTTGTAACTGACCCAAGGTCACACCAGCAGCTGTATGTGAAGGAGTGGGGAATCAAACCTGGTTCTCACCGATTAGAGTCCGCGCTTCTAACCACTACACCAAACATTCTCTCAGCTGCGCCCACACCATGCCCCCTGAGGAACAGACTGTGCCCTCTAATGGAGGTCACGCATCTTGGTACTTGGTGTCATTAACCAGTAGATATTCAATACTGGGAGTTTAACACGTATGTCAACAATGGCCACCAAGACTAAAAGGCCAAGATCTCTTACTTTAACAGCGATTTTGAAGGAGACGTCTCGGATGGTGCTCAGCGGGGGATACAATCTTCCTTCGGCGAGATTCTCTTCAGTGACGTCTTCCGCAATTGACTAGAGGTGGGGGAGGAAGAGAGATTCCTCAATAGGATCAAGGTTCTCATTGGGAATCCCATGTATCGGGCCCTACCCAGCATGGGCTTCCATAGGATAACTCAAGAAGAAGAAGAAGAAGAGATTGGATTTATACCCCGCCCTTCACTTGGAGTCTCAGAGCGGCTTACAAACTCCTTTCCCTTCCCCTCCCCACAACAGACACCCTGTGAGGTGGGTGGGGCTGAGAGAACTCTGACACAAACTGCTCTTTTTCAAGGACAGCTGTGCCAGAGCTTGTGACTGACCCAAGGTCACATCAGCAGGTGCAAGTGGAGGAGTGGGGAATCAAACCCCGTTCTCCCAGATTAGAGTCCGCGCACTTAACCACTACACCAAACTGGCTCTCAAGAGAGACCTTTCACATTCAAGCTCTTTAACTCGACCGCCACTTGAACCACTACACCTCCATTTCTGGCTAATGTTTTCACAGAGATATTCCCGGCCACATCTTGACTCTGCCTTCACATATAACGACTCGAGTTCTTAACCCAGGGCTACTTCACAGGTGTACATGTGTTTATTTATCAAAACATATATATATATATCCCGCCTTTCCTCATGGTTCAAGGCGGTTCATGATAAAACGTTTTCAGGTAAAACCAAAAATGAAATTGCCAACCCCACGTCTCTCCCCTTTCCCCCATTAAAAGATGCCCGTTGTTCAAACCGCCTCAGAAGCCCTGGCAAGCAGGCAGGCCTTGCAGCACCTCCTAAAGATCTCCAAGGGGGGGGGGACCCCCTCAGCTCTTCGGGGAGCCCATCCCACAGAGCCAGAACCATTGTGGAACAGGCCCGGGCCCTGGTCAATGCCAGGTGGACCACCCTAAGTACTGGGATACCCAAAAGATGGTGGCCTGAGGACTGTAATGGGTGCACAGGGAAGGAGATGGTCCTTCAGATTTTAGGTACCCTTCTAATAAACTTTAAATACAGACATTAAAAAAATCGAAATTATCATATGGCATTGTGTGTGGAATTGCCAGGAGATCCCCAAGGGGCACTGCTTGGCTGCCAAAGCTGTAGCTCTTTTTTGGAACCACTAGGTGGCGAGCTATGCTTATTTTTAGGCTGAGGGTGCTGTAACTTGCCTAAGATCAGCTGGCTAGCTTCAAGTGGGGAAGTGGGGAATCAAGCCCAGTTCTCCAGATTAGAATCCGCTGCTCTTAAACCACTACACTAAACCAGGTTTCAATGATATATACATAAACATATAAAGTGTGAATGCCCTGGGCAGCTCTGATTGGCTATATTTTTCTAAGGAGTGTACACTCAGTGATAAACCTGGGTTTGCCTTTTGGGTAATGCGTGAAATGACCCTAAACATTTAAGCTAGACACTTGATTGACAGAAGGGAGAGAGGGAGAAAGCACAAAGTGGGTATTCCAGAAAGGATTCCTAGGGGCATCAAGTGATCACGGTGGTCTGCAATGTCTGTTCACCATATATTAAAACTCTCATTTGACCATCAAATCCCGAACCTGTGCAGTGAGGAGAAAGAGGTCGTCAGAGATGTGCCGGATCCCACAGGCAATGACACCTAGAGCAACACCAGGGAACACATAGGCGTTGTTTCCTTGCCCGGGGAAGAAGGTCTTTCCACTCGGCAGGGTCACTTTCAGGAACGGGCTCCCGCTTGCAAATATACCACGCCCCTGTCAGCAAAGCAAGAGGGATTTGGTTTGTAGAAGATCAGACCAATCGTCAACTGCACAGCAGCAATGTGCACTCGAATGGAAAGGAAGGAAGGAAGGAAGGAAGGATGTAATTCTGATTATATTTCTGTGAGTTATATACATATGAAATTTTTCTATATAGCACAATTAGTGATGTGCAGACCCCCCTTCCAATCTGGTCATCTGAAGAAGAAGAGTTGGATTTATCCCCTGCCCTTCACTACCCAAAGGTGTCTCAGAGCGGCTTACAAACTCCTTTCCCTTCCCCTCCCCACAACAGACACCCTGTGAGGTGGGTGGGGCTGAGAGAGCTCTTGACAGAAACTGCTCTTTCAGGAACAGCTGTGCCAGAGCTTGTGACTGACCCAAGGTCACATCAGCAGGTGCAAGTGGAGGAGTGGGGAATCAAACCCGGTTCTCCCAGATTAGAGTCCGCACACTTAACCACTACACCAAACTGGCTCTGATAAAGAATAGGGCAGTCTACATGAGACCCATCGGAGGCTACCTTCTGGACAACCCATATTCAGTTTCAAACCATTCTCATTCAAACCAGCCTGTATTATGCTCCCGATGATGTGACTGAGAATGCGAAAGGATCCAGACCACCTTTCTTGAGCCTTTTGAGATTTTGTGAAAGGTCAGTAGGCGTGATGAGAGAATGGCCACCACAGTGATTGGGCCAATCACAGCATGCTGGGAGGGTTCCAAGCCAAGTGTCCTCTGGAGATGGAAGCTGCTATTGCCCAATGAGCCGTTCCCAAGCATCTATTGCACTGAGACAGTGAAAGAGAGCTGGGATGAAGTCTTTGACTGGGGGAAGAGATGTTGTTTGGTTTTCGTTTCCAAAGGAAGGGAAGCGTATGCTTCCCATGTGGCCAACAGGGAGACGTTCCTAAGTTCAGAAGACATGAGAAGATCTGTGTCTATGGTCCAGATGAAGGTGCATGGCAATAACGCACCTGCCCAAGGTGGAGATGAGTGCTGTTATTGCTAGGTGGTAGAGAGTGACCATAAGAACATAAGAGATGCCAATGTTGGATCAGGCCAAAGGCCCATCCAGTCCAATACTCTGTATCACATAGTGGCCAGAAATACCAGGTGCCATCAGGAGGTCCACCAGTGGGGCCAGGACATTAGAAGCCCTCCCACTGTTGACCAAAAGCTCCCTGTTTGTCTCTCTACCATTGGAAACCCTTTGGATGTTATCGTGGCGGCTTCAGATGCAAGTGGGCATCAGGAAACACATCAGTAGGTGTCGTGGCGGCCTTAGGTGCTATGTTGGGGTTCTCTAGTCCAGACCCTCCTCTTGGCCAAGATGCCTCCCTCCCACCGAACCCTCACTCCAAAATGTCCTCATGGTTTCTGATATGCTTGGATGTTGTACACCTGCTCAAGGCAGCATCAAAGTCCCAAGGAGTCTACTATTGTTAAAATCGCCTGCTGCCCTCTGCTCTACACAGCCACCTTGGTATGCTTGAGAAAAGGCAGTGGTGTCAAAGAGGATGCTGGGTCAAAACAGATTGGATTCTAAATGGATCTGGGGGAGAGGACTTATGGAAGGTGGTAGCCAGCCCCCTATTTCAAACTCTGTCTGTCTGTACACGTAGAGCATCTTTTCCCCACTGGAGAGCCAGCATGGTGCAGGTGCTTAGGATTCGGGAGATCCAGGTTCGAGTCTGCACTCCGCTATGGAAGCTTGCTGGGTGACCTTGGGCCGGCCACACTCTTCCAGCTTCACCTACCTCGCAGGGTGAGGATAAAATGGAGGAGGAGACACCGCCCTGAGCTTCCCGGTGGGTGAAAAACGTATAAAATAAATAGCAGCTCTGCCTTACAAACTGGCTACTCAGCTAATTTGGCCACGCTCATTCTGATCCCTTTGTTCACTTCCACAATCCCGTGCCTCTTTGTGTAGCCTTTCCCACTGCTCAAATTTACATTGTAAGCTCCTTGGGGCTGGGACCTGTCTTTCTAGAATCATAGAATTGGAAGGGATCTCCAGGGTCATCGAGTCCAACCCCCTGCTCAATGCAGAAAATTCACAAATACCTCTCCCTCGCACCCCCCCAGTGACCCCTGTTCTATACCCAGAAGATGACAAAAAACCTCCAGGTAATCCCTGGCCAAACTGGCCTGGAGAACAATTGCTTCCTGACCCCAAAGTGGCGACCGGCATTTCCCTGGGTGTGTGAGAAAGGGCCACGAGAACTAAGCACTGATGCAACCCTTCCTGCCCTCCCTCTCGTGACCTGCCTAACTCAGTGCCAGGAATATTGATGGCAAAGAAGATATCACTGAGCTGGCAAATTATGACCGAGTGATGAGAAACTGAGAGACATTCACCTGAGTGAGAAACAATCTCCAGGTCTCAGCACAACCAAAAGGAGGCACACTTTGGACATCAGCAACATGGAACTCCCCCCCCCCCCCCCTCATGTCAAGCGGTAGCACTGCTCTGCCGTACACTCTGATTTGCTCGTGGGGTTACTCAGGGCAAAAACGATCGGCCTCTCATTGAATGTCGCCATGTCCTTCAAAATCTGGTCCGTGAACGCTCCTGTGATGGCAGCAACCCCTGCCCCAGTTCAAAGCAGACAGAACAATCAGAGTCCATCTCCTCCAGCCATGTATAAGTACAGCTTCTACAAGAGCCTCGGGCAACCCCGTCTACCTAATTGGCCTCACAGGGCTGTTGTGAGGCTTACGCACTGCTTTGAGGAAGAAAGATCTATGACAAATGAACGGGTAAATGGATAGCAGGTGTCCAAATGTCAGGGTGGGGTGACTCTGCCTTGACCTCCATCGCAAAACTATTTTGTGCAAAAATTTTCCAGGAATTTTCCTTTTCCCCATCCAAAGACCTAATGTGGTGTAGTGGTTAGAGGGTTGGGCTAGGTTCTGGGAGACCCAGGTTTGAAAATTCCCCAGTCTGCCACAGAAACCTGCTTGGTGACCTAAGGCCAGTCACATTCTCTCAGCCCATCTAATTCACAGGCTTGTTGCTGAGGATGAAATGCAGGAGAGGAGAATGTCGTGGGCCGCTTTAGGTTCCCGCTAGGAGGAAAAGTGGGGTATAAATGAATACATTAAAAAAACAGAACAGAGTCCAGTGGCACCTTTAAGACCAAACAAGTGTTATTCAAGGTGTGAGCCTTTGTGTGCACGCACACTTCATCGGACAATGAGATGGAGTTTCATCTAATTTTCATTGTCCACTTTCCTCATTTCATGTTTCCATTTCATTGTCTGACGAAGTGCACGCACATAAAATAGCTTACACCTTGAATAAAACTTCATTGGTCTTGAAGGTGTCACTGGCCTCTAACTTTGCTCCATTGCTTCAGACCAACACGGCTGCCCACCCTGATCTAACATCAAAAAATAATAAACCTTGGCCTGTTAATCTCATCTAAGGGATGTTGGGGATCCATACTTGCATCCCTCAATATATAGAGCAAAGTTTGAGTCCGGTGGCACCTTTAAGACCAACAAAGTTTAATTCTGGGTATATGCTTTCATGTGCATGCGCAGTTCTTCAGATATAATATGTATCCAAGGAAGTGCGCATGCACATGGAAGTTTATACCCGGAATCACACTTTGTTGGTCTCAAAGGTGCCACTAGACTCAAACTTTGTTCTGTTGCTTCAGACCAACACAGCTCCCCACCTGAATCTACCCCCAATGTATAGTTTAACCCCTAAGCTATTTTCCAGATAGATACTGACCCTCCCTGCTTAAACAACACAGTGAAAAAGAAAAGTCTACATAAATATGCATATATATCACATCTGCACTGCCACCCGATCTTTGCAGCACCTTCCAGTATATATAAGTTCAGGGCCGGCTCTATCACTAGGCCAGCTAGTGTCTGGCCTAGGACGTGGGCGCCAAACTGCACCCCCCCCGCAACCCCCCGCTGCCGCCCTAACCGGGCGCCTGCCCCTCTGGCGCCCTTAGCAACTCAGGAGCGCCCAGCGGAGGCGGCCGGGGAAGCTTTTGCCAGGGAACCCGCCGGCAGCGCGTGGGAAGCGTGGCGCACTGGCGGCAGTGGCTCTGCACTTCAGAGCTGCGCACCCCCGTGATCCTGCTTGCTCCTCGCCGCCACACCCTCTCCCACGCCACCGGCCGCCCCCCCCGTGGCTTCTTTGCCTGGCAGAGAGACTGCAGCGGGGGTGGGGGGGAGGCGGCGGTAGGCGAGCAGCAGCGGCGGCCGGGGGGGGAGGCGAGTGGTGGCCGGGAGGGGGGGAGGCAGCAGCACACCTCGCCGCCTGCCATCCGTTTGCCCTGCCTCCATCTTCTCCTCTCTCAGCAGCTGGGGAATCAGGAAAGGAAAGCCTCTCTCTCACGTGCCCGTACCCCCCCCCGGAGCTCCCTTTAAAAAGTAGCCCTGATAGTGGCGGAGTAGCCACCCCCCCGCGATCCTGCTCGCTCCTCGCCGCCACACCCTCTCTCATGCCGCCGGCCGCTGCCCCCTGTGGCTTCTTCGCCTGGCAGAGAGGCTGCAGCGGGGGCGGGGGGGGGCGGCGGGAGGCGAGCAGCGGCGGCTGGAGGGGAGGCGAGCAGTAGCGGCGGTGGCGGGGGGAGGCGAACGGCGGCTGGGTGACCCTCCTCCCAGCCTGGTTCTGGCGGAGAGGTCTCCAGGCCCTGCCGGGAGGTTGGCATCTACGCTCGCCTAGAGCGCAGGACAACCTCGGGCCAGCCATGTATAAGTTTTATTCACAGTCATTGACCAGCACATAGTATACCGATGGCGTATCTTGCAACATAAATGATACATATGACATTAAAATAGAAGTAGAATTTTAAAAGCAGATTTTTTTAAAAAAAGGGGAAAACTCCATAAAAACCATAATCATTAAACTTAATAAAACTAAATCTTAATTCTCCTCTTTTTGAGCCACTATCGTTTTTCTAATTCTTAGGGCAAGCCATTCAAACTCAGCCACCCGATGAGTAACTTCTGCTCGCCTGACCGATAAAAAACTTCTTAAAAGGCAGATTCTTTGCCTACGAGAAAGAGGAAGTGTCTTAGAGAAAGGAAGAGATTCGCGGATGTTGTTATATGCCTTACAATCAAATATTACGTGTTCTGTAGACTCAATACCATCTGCACAACAGGGACACATCCTTTCTTTATAAGGAGTTTTATTAAATTTTCCTTCCAGGACTGCAGATGGGAGTACATCCCAGTGCATTAGTGTAAATGTTCTTCTATAGTCCTGATTTAGTAAACGGGAGAGGTAGGGCGCAGGGATTACTCTGTTATCTGGAGCCAAGAGGGCTCGCCATTTCCCTATGCAGCACCTACCAGGGTTTTTTCTTTAAAAAATTAATTTATATCCTGCTTTTCTCCCCATTGGGACCCAAAGTGACTTCTCATTTCATCCTCCCCTCCTTTAACTTATCTGCACAGCAACAAGGCTGAGAGATTCTGAGAGATCCTACTGGTGAGCTTCCATACAGAGCGGAGATTCAAACACAACTGTCCCAGGTCCTAGTCTGCCACTCTAATCACTATGTCCGCCACTTCTCCTTCCCTACTTCTGTTACCTCTTGGTGGTAGTGATTGCATGTTTTAGCCGTGTCCTTGGGCTCTTCCACATTCTCATTTCCCTGGCGTGTAAGTTCCTGTTTCTTCAGGGGTTTTTTTTGTGTTCCACACGTGTTTTGCTCCCTCTAGTGGTTGTTTTGAAATTACATTGGTTTGTGTCTGGCATTTTGTGCCGGAAAAAAACCAATGTAATATCATTGCACGGCATATTATGGTTTCACTGTTTTAATTGTTATTTTAATTATTGTTTTAATGGCATTGTATTGAACTGTTGTGAACTGCCCTGAGCCCGTTCACGGGGAGGGCGGTATACAAATCGAACAAATAAATAAAATCGAGCAAACACATATGGAACAGGGCCCCTCAAAGAAGAAAAGATTGGATTTATACCCCACCCTTCACTACCTGAAGGCGTCTCAGAGTGGCTTACAATCTCCTTTCCCTTCCCCTCCCCACAACAGACACCTGAGTGAGGACTGCTTGTGAGAGAACACCTCTGAAAGAACTTGTAACTGACCCAAGGTCACACTTCCAGCTTCATGTGGAGGAGTGGGGAATCAAACCTGGTTCTTCCAGATTAGAGTCTGCGCTCCTAACCACTACACCAAACTGGATCTCAAGTGATCACGGTTGTTTCGAAGAAATGGGACCTTACAAGCAAAGAAAATGAGAACACAGAAAAACCTTCAGACTGAATAAGAAGTTTGTACTCGGAATTACCCTCTCCAGAGGAATGAATTGGAAATTTTTCATTGCCAGGGACTGAGAATAAAGATTTGAAGCTTCTACATACTGAGTCAGGCTCTTAGTCTGTCCAGGTCAGAATGTGCTATTCTGACTGGCAGAACAAAATCTGAGTCCGGTAGCACCTTAAATCCAACACAATTTTCCAGGGTATATCCTTTCATGAGTCAAAGCTAACCTTGTCAAATCTGGTATTTGATGAAGTCAGTTTTCACTCATGAAAGCTCAAACCCTGGAAAATGTTGTGGGCCTTTAAAGTGCTAAAGGTAAAGGTAAAGGTTGCCTTGCTCGAAAGCCAGTCGAGTCCAACTCTAGGGTTGCGGTGCTCATCTACGTTTCAAAGCCGAAGAGCCAGCGCTGTCCGAAGACGTTTCCGTGGTCATGTGGCCGGCATGATTAAACACCAAGGTGCACGGAACGCTGTTACCTTCCCACCGAAGCGGTACCTATTTATCTACTTGCAATTTCTTGCTTTCGAACTGCTAGGTTGGCAGGAGCAGGAACTAGAGACGGGAGCTCACTCCGTCATGCGGCACACTCAGGTCTTGAACTGCTGAACTACCGGCCTCCCACAGCCTGCAGTTCAGCGTCTTAACCACTTGAGCCACTGCAGTGCTACTGGGCTCAAATTTTGTTCTGCTGCTGCAGATGAGCAGGGCTACCCACCACAAACTATCTGCCTGGCAGAGGCTCTCCAGACTCTCAGGTGGAAGTCTCCTGCATTGCTTGACCTTTTCACTGGAGACATTGGGGACTGAACCTAGGACCTTCTGCATGCAAACCAGAAGCTCCGCCTCTGAGCCACGGCCCCTCCCCCAAAGTGTTGCTGAGGATCACAGGATGAAAGTGAAGGGGTGCAGGGACAGTTACCGATAAGAGCCGTTGGCTTGACTCTCTGCACGACTTCTGCGAGTGTCTTCACACTGGGGTGGTCGTGAGCAAACATCTCCTTCTCGTGGTTCAGGTGACTCCTGCCCTGCGAGAAACACAAAGTGCATCCAGGTGAGGATTGAAAGGACCGATTTGCCTGCCAAATTCTTTCTCTTCTCCTTGCACTGAGTGCCCTGTACACATGATCCATTTGCACACTTAATCAATGTCCATAGAGGGGGAATGGGCAGGAGAGAGCTGTTCCCACCCACTGCCTCTGAGCGATTGCTAGCTCATGAGTGTGCACATTTACTGGGCACTTCCTCTGTGCATTAGGGTTGCCAGGTCCTGTCCACTCACCGGCAGGGGACTTTGTGGGGTGTCCCTGGACTCTAACGTGTTGATTTGCTTTCCCCAGTTTATCGGATTTCAGGGAATCCTTGCGAACATAAGAGAAGCCATGTTGGATCAGGCCGATGGCCCATCCACTCCAACACTCTGAGTCACACAGTGGCCAAAACCCAGGAGCCATCAGGAGGGCCACCACCAGGGGGCCAGAACTCCAGAAGCCCTCTCACTCTTGCCCCCCAAGCACCAATCCTTCTTTTGGTGTAGTGGTTAAGTGCGCGGACTCTAATCTGGGAGAACTGGGTTTGATTCCCCACTCCTCCACTTGCACCTGGCTGGATGACCTTGGGCAAGCTGTAGTTCTGATAAGAGCTGTCCTTGAAAAAGAGCAGTTTCTGTCAAGAGCTCTCTCAGCCCCACCTCCCTCACAGGGTGTCTGTTGTGGGGAGGGGAAGGGAAAGGGAGTTTGTAAGCCACTCTGAGACACTTTTGGGTCATACGTTTGGAAGTTTGCTACAGTGCCATCGAACTACTTCCACTCCTGAAGTATTACACCGGCCTTTGCTAGAATGACAACTGCAGAAGTCTCTGCAGACGAAGCACCAAATGTCATCCAATGTGCAGAGGTACCTTGACAATGAGTCCCTTGGAGTCCACCATCCAGATTTTTCGAATCGCTTCTTCCCTCGGGATGCCCTCCTTTTCCAGGGCCATAACGATCAGGTGGGCTATGCCCATGGCAGCCTGAAAACACAACCAGAGAATCATTAACCCAACTGGACGAAGCAAAGGATCCAAGACACAAGCCCTTCTAGGATACCCAAGAAGGAAGTTTAAACAAAAGAAGACGATACAATTCTGGGATGCTTTTCGTACAGAAAGTTCCAGGTGTGATGACGACGACAACAACGACAAAAAGAATAACAATATGCAGTCAAGTTGCAACCAACTTATGGTGACCTCCCATGGGGGTTTTCAAGGCAAGAGATGAGCAGAGGTGGTTTGCTGTTGCCTCCCTCTGCATAGCAACCCTGGTCTTCCTTGGTGGTCTCTCATCCACCAGCAGGGACTGTGGCCAGCCCTACTTAGCTTCTGAGCTCTGACAAGCTCAGGCTATTGAGACTGCTACCCAGGGGTCATTTCCTGCGGGAGCGCACAGGAGCGGAGCTCCGGCAGTAAGGAGCCCAGGGGGCGGGCACATTCAACAAGCCCCATCCCCTGCTCCCAGCAGCCCTCAGTCGGGCCCTGAGGAGCAAGAAGCAACCAGGTAAGTTGCGAGCCCCCCCCCCAGCCTGCCTTCAGGTACAAGCTCTCCCTCCTCTGTGAGGGCAGATCTGCGCGTTCCCCACCCCCAATAGCTAGAAATCCAAAACAGTCCAGTGGCACCTTTAAGACCAAGTTTTATTCAGGTACGAGCTCTCCCTCCTCTGTGAGGGCAGATCTGCACGTCCCCTCCCCCCAATAGCTAGCAATCCAAAACAGTCCAGTGGAGCCTGAGCGGTGGGTGTTGCCTTCTGACACACTTCTGGTGATGTCAGGGGGCGTGGCATATGCAAATAAGTTATGCTAATGAGCTCCTGCCCCTCTTTTTCTACCAAATGACCCCTGCTGCTACCACATACAATAAGTTCTCAGGAAGCAGGACGACTCTGGAAATATTTTTTATCTCCTGGAGACCTTGGAGTGGCCCTCCTGGTCCAAGCAGGCGGACCAAGGAGACAACTTCAAAGGCTCATCTCCAGCTGACATTCCTCTTGGTGTCCTCCAGGTTTCTACCATCACTACATCTCTCCCTAGATTCAGGTCCAGTAGGACCTTAGGGACCAAAAAGATTTTCTAGGGAAGAGCTTTCAAGAGTCAAAGCACCTTTCATCAGAAATGGAGCTCATACTCTGAAACTCTTGTGGGTCTCTGGGGTGCTACTGAACGTGCGTCTCGCTCTTCTAGCGCAGACCAACATGGGAGCCCTATAGAGTACCTATCAAGATGGGTAGCCGTGTCAGTGTCTGTAACAGCAGAGAAGAGCAAGAGTCCAGTAGAACTTTAAAGAGTAACGAAATTTGTGGCAGGGGAGGAGCTTTTGTGAGTGACTGCTCGCTTCTTCTGAAGTCCCTGAAGAAGTCAGCGGTGACCCACGAAAGCTCATACCCTGCCACGTGCTTTGTTAGTCGTTAAGGTGCTCCTGGACTCTTGCTCTTTTCTCCTGCTACAGACAAACACGGCTACCCATCGCGATCTATCTCCGTGGGAGGTACCACACTTAGCTGTACAGAATGGAAATCCAACCACCTTGTGATATAAGGACAAATAGACTCCCATTCTAGCTGTATCTGAAGAAGTGAGCAGTGACTCACGAAAGCTCATGTTCTGCCACACATTTTGTTAGTCTTTAAGGTGCTCCTGGACTCTTGCTCTTTTCTCCTGCTATGGACAGATTCACACGGCTACCCATCTTGATCTGTCTCCATGGAAGACACCACATTTAGCCATACAGAATGGAAATCCTTCAACCTTGTGATATAAGGACAGATGGAATCCCATTCTAGCTGTATCTGAAGAAGTCAGAAGTGACTCACAAAATCTCGTACTCTGCCACAAATTTTGTTAGTCTTTAGGGTGCTTCTGGACTTTGCTGTTTAAAAATTTGTAAGGTGGACCCAACAGATCCGTTCTCCTAGTGGATACACTTCCCTCTGGCAGAAGGCGTCTTCCTCGTCTTGTGTCAATAGAAGGCTCCTTCCGCCAGAGGGAAGTGCCTCTACTAGTGGAACAGATCCACAGAATCCAAGCCGATTGGAGAAGAGGAGGTGCCAGTGTGCGCTCAAGGGTGAATATTTTGTTGTTGATGACATGTAGGACGACACCAGCCTGAGCATGGAACTACTCAAAGAAACAGTACAAGATTGGAAAACGTAGAGAGAGCTGGGCCACAGAATCGCCAAGAGACGGACACGACTGAATGGTTAACAACAGGGCTATTTTGGGGCAGGAACACACGGAGTTCTGGCTGGCTTTCGAGTTGCCCATGCCCACTACAGCCAAAACCTCTGCGCATGCGTGGCTACAGAGGGAAGGCCTGGAGAGTGACCCCCCCGGGCAGGCCAGGGGGGTCCTGGAAGGATTGGGGAGGCAGCTGCGGGGCACCTGGGCAAGCCAAGGGAAGGCATGGGGTGTGGCCTAATATGCTAATGAGCTGCACTGTCAGGGGTGTGGCCTAATATGCTAATGAGTTTTTTGCTGTTGGGCGTGGCCTATTATGCTAATGAGTTCCTGCTGGGCTTTTTCTACAAAAAGAGCCCTGGTTAACAACAACAACAACAGCACATGTAGGGCTGTGGCACCCTTTAATTCAATGGCTTGATGCTCAGGAGACAGTGGCTAGGGAGTTGTCGCTCGCTCTCCTTCTGTACAAACATGAAGACGGGAGGTTGTTTAGGGGTTTGGCACAAACGCAGGACCCTTTCGGGGTCGTTCTGGGCCATTTCTCACACAGCTGCAATCATCCTCTCTCACTCTCCCTATGCAAGCCCTGTTGGAGTGACAGATGTACAACAACTGCATTTATGTTTCTGCTTGATGCGTTCAACATCAGAGCTGGCGATCTTGGCCCGCACTTCCCACCAATGGGATATGACGCCTACCTCTCCAGCTCCTTGGAAAACAAACTTATGGTCCGACAACTTGTTCTTTATTATCCTCAAAGCTGCAAAGATGCCGGCGACTGCGACAGAAGCCGTTCCTGAGGGGGGGATAAAAATGAGACGGGTTTCGCGAAAAGCTGCCCTGAGGTCCTTAGAGAAAGGTGGGAACAGAAATTCGAGGATTTGAAATATTTCATTTCCCTAGAAATGGGTTAGACAATTGTACGGAGGAAAGGGTGTTATGTAATACAGCTCTGTTCACCAAATCCTGGAGAAAAGTAACTGAGATGGTTCATCATTTGGTTTTGCTAGCCTGCAACCTTCGGCTAGCTATTGTTAAAAACTGAAAGGGCAATTATTCCATCTGTACCCCTATGCCCTAGCGAATCTAACACCTGATTGCCTGGCCCCCCAAGGGTGGAGCGTGGCACTGGACACGGTTCTGAGGTTGAGATCGTCAGTAGCTAGGCGTGGTTAAGATCTTCCCATCTTGCTGAAATTTGCTGTAAATTGTTATATCTGACTGTAATTTATTGTTTTAAACTAAATTATATGTTAGTGTTTTAAATGTTTTAAACTATATGTTATTGTTTTAACCTGGCACTTTGTGCCCATGTTAGCCGCCCTGAGCCTTCGGGATAGGGCGGGATATAAATGCAAATATAAATAAATATATATAAATAAATAAATATTCACCCACTATGGAGTCTGGGGTTCCCATTCAACAGTCAGGCATGAATTTGCGTCCGCTTCAATTCCTATGTGCATGGTGCCCGATTCAGATCGGAGCCACGGTGCATGCCGAGAAGGGGCTTGAGGCTTTCCCTAAGTGGGATATGTACAGGCTTCCACAGTGGGTCAAGCATCACCTCATAGACCTGTTTCAGGTTGGGAAAATGGTACGGCAGGAAAAAAGGCTAAAGCCCCATTTCCGCGGGTGCCACCATCCTGACCCAAACTGGGTACCCCACGTGCAGGAACTGAAGAGTACCCACAACTCGAATGAACTCGAAATCGAATTAATAAATACACTCACATCTGATTGTTAACACAGAGTGGGAGACCCCAGATTCAATCTGTTTACTCTGCAATATGTGAATTGGACCTTCATCATTGGATCCCATGGACCCCAGGTGCGTAAAGAGAATGTGGGTTCGTGTGTGTGCGGGGGTGAAAACTAAGAGTGAACTGGGGAGGACAACATGAACAAATGCAAAAGAAGCATCACTCAAAATCCAGGTAAACCAAAAACTCTTAACTTTTAACACTCATTAGATAACAAGCAGTGTCTGTCAAGATAGTTATTTATATAAAACACTTATTCTGCATCGAGCCCCAGAGACCTGAGGTGGTTTGCAGAAAGGAAATGCCTCCAGATGTCACTGTACTCTTGCATTATGGGCTCCGGGCAGCTGTAGGCTCACCTCTGCCTATGCAGACCTGCTTGATGTCGGAGTGGCTGTCAAAGAACTTAGGGTCACCAACTCCAACTTGGATAATTCCTGGAGGTTTCGAGGTGGTTCTGTGGAGGGGACAGTCTGGGGAGGGATTTCAGCTAGGATCTACGATATATCATGCAGTCTGCCCTACAAAGCTGCCATTTTCTCCAGGGGGAAACTGATCTCCATAGGCGGAAGATCAGTTATAATTCCAGGAGGACCAGGCCCCACCTGGAGGTTGGGAACCCTAACGCAGCATTCGAAGAGGACTTGTAGGCCATCCAGCCCAATCCACAGCTCAAAGGATGGAATCCAAACCTGAAGCCTCCCCAAAAGACAGGTGCCCGGCAATGCTCCCTCTGAGCTGCAGGGTCTTGTGAGCAAAACTTCCACTTTGTGAGCTACTGGCATTAAAGTTGTGAGTGAGTGATTTGGCTCCTGCATAAATTAGTTTGCTCTGGAGCCATCCTTCCTGAGCCAAGATAAAAATGTGTGAGCCGGAGGCTAAAAAACAGTGAGCTAGCTCACATTCTAGGAGCTGCGGTGGCTCAAGTGGTTAAGACGCTGAACTGCAGGCTGTGGAAGGTCAGTAGTTCAGCAGTTCGAGACCCGGGTGCCGCATGACGGAGTGAGCTCCCGTCTCTAGTTCCAGCTCCTGCCAACCTAGCAGTTTGAAAGCAAGACATTGCAAGTAGATAAATAGGTACCACTTCGGTGGGAAGGGAACAGCGTTCCGTGCGCCTTGGTGTTTAGTCATGCCGGCCACATGACCACGGAAACGTCTTCGGACAGCGCTGGCTCTTCGGCTTTGAAAGATGAGCACCGCAACCCTAGAGTCGGACTCAACTGGCTTTCGGGCAAGGGAACCTTTACCTTTTAGCTCACACTAACTCAGCTTAGAGGGAACACTGGTGTCCAGCCTCTGCCTGAAGGCTCCATCACATGGGCTGGTCTGTTTCCATCCAGATTCACATACATGTAGGGTCCGATGCCAAACTCCAGGTAGTACCTGGAGTAGGGTTGCCAAATGGGGCTGGGGGGCAGGGAATCCCCCGCTTTGGAGGCCCGATTTCCGCCGCGAAGCTGCGTCACCTGCCCCCGAAGCTGCGTCACCTGACGTTGGGGGCGTGGCTGAGCTCGTCGGGGGGGACGCGCTCGGCCACGCCCCTAACGTCAGCAAAGTCGCACGTTACTTCCGGCGACGTGCTGCCGGCGCGCGCGCTTTGCGCACACGCGCTCCACCGGACCTCCCGGACGCCGGCAAGGCTCCCCCGCTCCGAGGGGTGAGTCGACTTGGCAAACCTAACCTGGAGATCTTCTGCTACTACAACTGATCTCCAGATGACCAAGATCATCTCCCCTGCAGGAAATGGCTGCCTTGGAGGGGGCGGGCTCTATGGCATTATACCCTGCTGAGGTCTCTTCCCTCCACAGACCCTGCCTTCCCCAGGATCCACCCCCCCAAATTTCCAACCCTTCTGATTGCTGGCAGGCCCCAGACTCTGGAATGCCCACTGAAGAGGTCTACAGGTGGCCTCTTCCTCTCTCTCCGCATCTCCCAACAAGTTCAGATTGTCCTGTTTGAATGGACATTTGGAAGGGAAGATGAACAACCATTTAAGACATAGTCCACTGCAAGCTTTTGGCTCCGCTGCATAACGATTTGTTGATTTTAGAATGATTTTTATGTGTTTTTATTGATTTAGATACTGAAAAAGAAGGAGAGTCGGTTTTTATACCCTGCTTTTCTGTACCCTAAGGAGTCTCAAAGCAGCTTACAATTGCCTTTTCATTCCTGTCCCCACAACAGGCACACTGTGAGGGAAGTGGGGCTGAGAGACTTTGGAGAGAACTGTGACTGGCCAAAGGTCACCCAGCAGGCTGCATGCGGAGGAGTGGAGAATTGAACCCGGTTCTCCAGATCAGTGTCCATTGCTCTTAAGCACTACACCACACTGGATCTCACTGGTAGCATTGGTAGTATTCCCCCCCCCCCAAGAAGCCACCTTGGACAATTTTATTGGAAAGCTAGGGGGCAAAGACTTCAGTAAAGACACATTAAACTAAATTCATCGGCCAGAACTCTTGAATATGTTTACTGCTTTGGGGTGGGGGGAGAGGCTACTCTAGTGAAATAATTCTTGGATGGGGAAAGGGCAATGAACTTTCTTCTCCCTGTATCTTTTTCTTGACTTCATCTGAAAAAGTATATGGTCCCCATGTGTTTCCCTCACAGGGCAAAATAACAGCTCTTGGGGGGGGGGGAGAGAGACTGAGGTCAGGAAACTTGTGTGGGGGAAAGAACCCTCCCTCAGGCTCCAACCTGAAACATTCCCCAGGGGGCTTCTATTTCCATTTTAAACCCACCCACCCTTACAGGAAATTCATTCACAGATCTGGGGTCACGCTTAGCTTTGTCATATGTGAACAACTGGCTAGAATACCTTCTGCAAGATTTCTTTTTCATTGCTTAAATGGGCTAAATAATTTTTTAAAAAAAGAAAAAAAAAGAAAAGAACTGAAAACTCTGGCCTCCTCTGTGGAGACAGGCCTGCCTGTGACCTATTTTGGTAAGGGGAAAAGCAGGCTAAGGAAATATATAACTAAGTAATGTCTATGTGGACACTCTGAAAATCATTCAGACAATTCTGAAAACCATTAAGAAAAGCACCCAGACTTCTAAATGTAAAAAGAAAAAACTGGAGTTTCTTAAAAGAAAAAATAATTCTTCTTTTCAAAAACTGTTGTATACTCCTCAATCCTAAGAACATAAGAAGAGCCCTGCTGGATCAGACCAGGGGTCCATCTAGTCCAACATCCTGCCTCACACAGGGGCCAGCCAGTTCCCCTGGAGGGCCAACAACAGGGCAGGGAGGCCGAGGCCTTCCCCTGATAAGAACCTAAGAAGAGCCCTACTGGGGCAAGTGATGCTCTGTATTCTTGGGGCTGGGGGGGGGGGACGGTGGGAGGGCTTCTAGTGTCCTGGCCCCACTGCTGGATCGCCTGATGGCACCTGGTATTTTTGGCCACTGTGTGACAGAGTGTTGGACTAGATGGCCCACTGGTCTGATCCAGCAGGGCTCTTCTTAGGTTCTTATCAGGGGAAGGCTTCCGCCTCTCTGCCCTGTTGTTAGCCCTTCAGAGGAACTGGTTGGCCAATGTGTGAGACAGGATGCTGGACTAGATGGACCCTCATTGGTCTGATCCAGCAGGGCTCTTCTTAGGTTCTTATCAGGGGAAGGCTTCCGCCTCTCTGCCCTGTTGTTAGCCCTTCAGAGGAACTGGTTGGCCAATGTGTGAGACAGGATGCTGGACTAGATGGACCCTCATTGGTCTGATCCAGCAGGGCTCTTCTTAGGTTCTTATCAGGGGAAGGCTTCCGCCTCTCTGCCCTGTTGTTAGCCCTTCAGAGGAACTGGTTGGCCAATGTGTGAGGCAGGATGTTGGACTAGATGGGCCACTGGCCAGATCCAACACTGGCTTCTCTTATGTTCTCATGATCAGACCAGTGGTCCATCATCTTGTCTCACACAGTGGCCAACCAGTACCTCTGGACGGCCAACAACAGGCATAGAGGCCAAGGCCTTCCCCTGAGGTTGCCTCCTGGCTCTATTCCTGTGGCCATCAATACATCCTGTAGCAGCGAATTCCACATTTTAACCACTCTCTGTAAATATTTCCTTTTCTCCGGCCCAAATGTACTGCCCATCAGCTTCACCGGAAGCCCCTGGGTTCTAGCATTGTGGGAGAAGGAGAAAAAGCTCTTTTTATCAATTCTCTCCACCCCATGCATAATTTCACAAACCTCTATCATGTCCCAGACTCTTCAGCCCTTCCTCATAGGGAAGGTGCTCCCTCCAACCCCCTAATAATCTTGGTCACCCTCCTCTGTACTTTTCCCCCAGCTCTGCAATGTCCTTTTTGTGATACGGTCACCAGAACTGTACATGGTATTTCAAATGAGGCTGCACCATAGAGCCAGTTTGGTGTCATGGTTAAGAGTGTGGACTCTAACCTGGGAGAATTAGGTTTGATTCTCCATTCCTCCACATGCATCCAGCTGGGTGACCTTGGGTCACTCAAAAGTTCTCTCAGAGCTGTTCTCTCAAGAGCAGTTCTCTCAGAGCTCTCCCAGCTCCACCTACCTCACAGGGTGTCTGTTGTGGGGAGAGGAAGGGAAGGAGATTGGAAGCCGCTCTGAGACTCCGAGTAAAAGGTGGGGAATAAATCCAATCTCCTCCTCCTCCTCCTCGTCCTCCTCCTCTCTTCTTCTTCTTCTTCTTCTTCTTCTTCTTCTTCTTCTTCTTCTTCTTCTTCTTCTTCTTCTTCTTCTTCTTCTTCTTCTTCTTCTTCTTCTTCTTCTTCTTCTTCTACTACTACTACTACTACTACTACTACTACACCACCACCACCACCACCACCACCACCACCACCACCACCGGAATATTGTAATATCAGCCATTTTATTTTCAGGCCCTTTCCTAATAATCCCCAACACAGAGTTTTGCCTTTTTCACTGCCGCAGCACACAGGCTCGACACTTTCCTTGAGCTCTCCTCTAGGTGGAGCTATGGATTAATCTTTCTTCCTCAAAGCGCCCAGTGACGTTACAGCTGTACTGGGAGACCCTGCCAAAGAAACTTTTCAAGAAATGCTGTCCTTCTTAAAGATTGAAGCAGTGGGGGAAGAAGGGAGAACGGTGGATGCTGTGACTCGGCCCCCACTGTGATGTGAGACTGGGTGTGCCGTTTAGTCATAATCCCTATTCCCGATTACAGATTAGATGGGAAAGGGAAGCAAGACCTTCGTCCAACGACAAAGAGCCTGGAATGGCGTTCCCTCCCTTCAAATGTGTTTTTAATCCTTCTTCATCTCTGTGAATTGTTCTGCCCGTCTCCGATTGCTCAAAAACAGCGCCCGAAAAGTAATAGGGCCTTGGCCCTAGAAGGATATTTATGGTCGGAATTATAATTTGCTGATCTCCTAGCAAGGAACGGTCCACAGCTGCTTTCCACAAACTGTTGGCTGATCAGTGTTTGTTTAATCCCACAGGGTCACTCTTAAGACATAAATAAATAAACCACGAGACGCAGCCCCCATTAAAGAACTCTTTTTTGGAAACCCGGACTCTCTCTGCTTTCCGCAGATCTGCAAGCTTTGACTTCGAAAGATTCCCTTAATTAATTAACGAAGCTGAGCTGGGCTGGCTGATGGCGCGGTCCTAAAGGTGGTGTTTTGAGATTCGCATGTTAATTCAGATGGACTGACAGTCAAGTGTCTTTAGGATCGGTTGGAAATAAGGGGAGAAAGGCGGAAATGGCACCTGCATCTTGCGGTGGAGAGTGCCGTCAAGTGGCAGCTGACTCTAGGGTTTTCAAGGCAAGAGACATTCAGAGGTGGTTTGGCATTGCCTGCCTCCACGTCATGACCGTGGTGTTTCTTGGAGGTCTCCCCACCCAAATACTAGCCAGGGCCGATCCAAGATTGGGCTAGCTGCTGAGGCTGGGCTAGCCTGTGCTATCCACGCCAGGGCGTCTTAACGGGCTTTAGTTGGCAAACTTCCCTGCTTCAGAAAATGCGCCTACCCCCATGCCTGATTTCTGCTTTTCCTGCTCTGAAGGAGCTGCGGTGGCTCAAGTGGTTAAGACGCTGAACTGCAGGCTGTGGAAGGTCGGTAGTTCAGCAGTTCGAGACCCGAGGGTGCCGCATGATGGAGTGAGTTCCCGTCTCTAGTTCCAGCTCCTGCCAACCTAGCAGTTCGAAAGCAAGAAATTGCAAGTAGATAAATAGGTACCACTTCAGTGGGAAGGGAACAGCATTCCGTGCACCTTGGTGTTTAGTCATGCCAGCCACGTGACCACGGAAACGTCTTCAGACAGCGCTGGCTCTTCGGCTTTGAAACGGAGATGAGCACCGCAACCCTAGAGTCAGATTCGACTGGCTTTCGAGCAAGGGAACCTTTACCTTACTCTGAAAGATTGCCACCCACCTTAGCGTGGGGGGGGGGACCCCTTACCTGCTTACATTAGATGCCACCCATAATACCCTCTCCCGCAATACTAGAACACGGGGACACCCAGGCTGATGGACAACAGGTTCAGGAAAGACTATTTATTTATTTACTTCACACACACACACACACACACACACAACACACACACACACACACTTCCTTTTTCCCTAATATGGGCCCAAAGCTGCTTATATTGTTCTCCTCTCCTCCATTTTATCCTCACAACAACTCTGTGAGGAAGTTGGGCTGAGACTTTCTGACTGGCCCAAGGTCACCCAGCAGGCTTCCATGGAATGAGTGGGGATTCGAACCTGGGACTCCCAGTTCCTAGTCCAACACTCTAAGCACTTTATGCCACACTGGCACTCAAGGAAACGCTGAATACTTACTAAAGGAAATACTTCTTTACTCAACAAGTATTTAAACAGTGGGATTTGCTCCCAGTGGACATAGCGATGGCTTTTTTTATTTGTTTCATTTATACTCCACTTTTTTCCCCAGGGGGACCTGCTTCCATTTTTGTCCCTGCCATTTTATCCTCAAGAAACCCCTGAGCGTGTGTGACTGGCCCAAGGTCACCCAGTAGGCTTCCATGAAGAAGAAGAGATTGGATTTATACTCCGCCCTTCAGTTATGCTGAGCTGGGAATCTCTTACCCTGGATGTCGTCATTGAACATGCAGTATCGGTTCCGGTATTTGTTGAGAAGTCGGAACGCGTTGGCATTGGCAAAGTCTTCAAACTGAATGAGGCAATTCATCCCATACCTGAAGGTTCAAACAAACAAACAAAAACAAAGAGCGTTCGAGAGGACGTCTTGTTGTTAGTGCAAGGACTGGTGTAAAAAGACGGGCCGCTCTTAAGCTTGCCATTTTCCCAGGACGAAACAGAAAACCATCTTCACCAGGAATTCTAACACGTTCTAGCACAGAGCTCAGTGGCTCAGTGTTAGGGCACTTGCTTTGGAGGGAGAATCTCTCAGGTTTGATCTCTGGCTTCTCCGCTTGAAGGAGCCTCGGGGAGAAAGAATGTTGAGAAAGAATTTTCACTGAGGGAGAGCTGCGGCCTGCCAGTGTAGACAATCCTGAGCTAGATGAACCAGTGATCCAACGCAGTATAAGGGCCAAGCTAGATGCAGCCATTTTAAAGGACGGCCCGATCCTGATTGGGCCTGCAGTATATCAGGCTGAGACATTCTCCCTCTATGCCTTCTCAAGTGCTGGAATGGCCTCATTCTCCCCCCACCATGGCCCTGAGGGGCATTTTAAAATCCATTTAAACTGGCATTGTTGTCCATTGGTCAGACCCGTGGATGCTGTCCTATCCAGCGTGGCCCTAAGGCAGTGGTGGCAAACCTATGGCACGGGTACCAGAGGTGGCACTCAGAGCCCTCTCTGTGGGCACGGGTGCCATCGCCCCAGCCAGGCCCAGACCACCATTACAGTGTCGAATTCTCTGCCAAATAATTTTAAGTAAACGAAAGCATTTGGGATTGCTTTCCTTATTTTGTTTGGATCATCTTAAGTTAATGTTATGAGTTGTTTTTTCTAAAGTAAAACCTCAGTATTCAGGTTAAATTGCCGTGTTGGCACTTGGCGATAAATAAGTGGGTTTTGGGTCGCCGTTTGGGCACGCGGTCTCTAAAAGGTTCGCCATCACTGCCCTAAGGCAACTTCATGCACAGGAGTTCTCACCATTCCTTCTTGGAAATTCAAGTGCTCAGCTCTAATCAAAACCATGAAGGGAGGAGGGTTTAAGTTTCTCTCCTCTGCTGCCTTCTTCCTTCTGTTTTAGTATTTGTGTGTGTGTGTGTGTGTGCTTGCAAGTGCCTGGAAGTCATGGTGATTTCTGGTGACCCTTACTAGGGCTTGGACATTTTCAAAGAGGTGGCTTGATTAGCCTGCCTCTGCATCCCAAGTCCCACTATTCTCTGGAGGTCTCCCTTCCAAGTACTCACCAGGGTTGGCCCTGCTTAGCTTCCAAGACCTGAGGAGATCGGGCTTGCCTGAGCTACCCAGGTCAAGGCCCCTCTGCTGTCTTCTTGACCTGCAGTGAACCCGGGGGACCACTAATTGCCCCATTGGGGGAAAACACGGGGACTCATAAATTTGCCCAAGTAGGGCAAACAGCAGCTCTCTGGGGCCGTTTCAGGTTGGGATAAGGGCACGGGGAGGAAGGCTTCAATCCCGCATCCCAGTTGGGATTAAGCCCCCTGCACACCTGATTTTTCAATTAATAGAAAGACTCCCAGAGCCACAATGTAGTTGAGCGCTAACACCCAATTTCAAGCACGTTCTGACCTCTACCATCATCATATGAACATAAGAAGAGCCCTGCTGGATCAGACCGGTGGTCCATCTAGTCCAGCATCCTGTCCCACACAGTGGCCAACCAGTTCCTCTGGATGGCCAACGACAGGTCATAGAGTCCAAGACCTTCAGAAGTACATAGGAAGAGCCCTGCTGGATCAGATCGGTGGTCCATGTAGTCCAGCATCCTGTCCCACACAATGGCCAACCAGTTCCTCTGGAGGGCCAACAATGGGGCACAGAGGCCGAGGCCTTCATAAGAACATAAGAAGAGCCCTGCTGGATCAGACCGGTGGTCCATCTAGTCCAGCATCCCATCCCACACAGTGGCCAACCAGTTCCTCTGGATGGCCAACGACAGGTCATAGTCCAAGACCTTCAGAGGAACATAGGAAGAGCCCTGATGGATCAGACCGGTGGTCCATCTAGTCCAGCATCCTGTCCCACACAATGGCCAACCAGTTCCTCTGGAGGGCCAACAATGGGGCACAGAGGCCTCGGCCTCCATAAGAACATAAGAAGAACCCTGCTGGATCAGACTAGTGGTCCATCTAGTCCAGCATCCTGTCTCACACAGTGGCCAACCAGTTCCTCTGGAGGACCATCTCCTGATGTTGCTCTGAGATCCATGAAATTGTCTAATCACCTTTTAAAGCTGCTTATTCCTGTGGCCATCACTACATCCTCTGGCAGCGAATTCCACATTTTAACCACTCTCTGTGTAAAGGAGCAGTCTTAGACAAGTCACCCACTCTCTCAGGCTCCACACATCCTTCTCTTTGTTGTGCAAAACCCGTCATCTGTTCTCTGGTGTAGGCTTCAGCAACCCGGCAGTCTCGGATCTCAGGTACCAGCTTTGTTATTCAGCCCACATGAACTCGTGCTATGATTGTAGCTGGCTGGTCTTGACTACTGCAACTTATTCTATATAGGGTTGCCTTTGTAGGCTGTTCAGAAACCACAGCAGGGTGAAAAGGCAGCAGCCAGGTTTCAGGCACAGATGACAGAGATGGCATATCATCTGTGCATACAGAATTACACTAGCTACCCATTTGTCCCTAGGCACAATTCAAGGTGCTAGTTCCAACCATTGAGTCCCTAAGTGGCCACAGACGAGGTATCTTATGTACAACCTGCTCTGCTACCAAAAACATCTTCAAAGGTGATGCTGGGAATTACCATAGACAGAGCCTTTTCTGTTGTGGGCCTCTCCATGTTTGTTCAGAGGGAATCAAGTTTGCTGAGTTTCAGTTGCCCAGAGTTTTAATTTTGTAGATTAAAGTCTGAGTCCAGTGGCACCTTTAAGAACAACAAAGTTTGTTTCTGGGCATTCTGCATGAACAGAAAAGCTTATACCCAGAATTAAGAGAGCCAGTTTGGTGTAGTGGTTAAGTGTGCGGACTCTAATCTGGGAGAACCGGGTTTGATTCTCCACTCCTCCACTTGCACCTGGCTGGATGACCTTGGGCAAGCCATAGTTCTGACAAGATCTGTTCTTGAAAAGGGCAGTTTCTGTCAAGAGCTCTCTCAGCCTCACCTACCTCACAGGGTGTCTGTTGTGGGGAGGGGGAGGGAAAGGAGTTTGTAAGCCGCTCTGAGACTCCTTCGGGTAGTGAAGGGCGGGGTATAAATCCAATCTCTTCTCTTCTTCTCTTAATCTTTGTTGGTCTTAAAGGTGCCGCTGGACTCAAACTTTGTCTGTTGCTAGACCAACACGGCTCCCCGCCTGAATCACTTTAGTAGATTGTTATGTTTGGCTCTGATTTCAAGCTCTTTGATTATATGTTTCTTTTTTTAAAAAGCATTCTTGCTGCGTATCGCTTAGTTGTCCTAGTTACAATCATTATTATTAACACTGGGGTTGAATCTCATTTAAGATTTCCACATGCGCAACTGTCCTTGGACAACAAGAAACGCTAAAAACACCCCTTGCTCTCTGCTTATGCTAAATGAATGCAACCTTGTACCCACTTAGATTTCCACGTGCCCTAGTGACAGCATGAGGTATTTCTTCTGATACAATATCAAACATATACTAAATTTATTTAATTCATTTGTACCTCACCCTTTCCCCCAAGGGGAACCCAAAGCCGCTTACATCATGCTCTGTCTTCTTGGTCCTTGGGGGGCAGCCAATAGTGGGAGGGGCTGGCCCTGCTGGTGGACCTCCTGATGGCACCTGGGTTTTGGCCACTGTGTGACACAGGGTGTTGGACTGGATGGGCCACTGGCCTGATCCAGCATTGGCTTCTCTTATGCTCTTATTCTACCTTTAACCACTACACCATCTGTTGTACATCCCATTACTTTAAATGCATACTGTTGCTTTGCTAAAAAGTGATATTAATGCACTATATGTAGCTGCTGTGCCCATTGTCTCCTGTTTGTTCAGATGGAATGGTGATAAGTACATTTTTAGCTCATGGACAGCTGGATCCAAACTACTCTCTTATACAACAGCTGCTTAATTTACAGCACAACTGATTCTGTTTTGTTTAATATTAAAAAACCACACTGGAAGCTGCCTGGGGAGATTTCTTTTGGGCATACGTAGTATTAACTGAAACAAATAAATATCATGAAGCTTGGGCAGTTGTGAGAGCTTCCAGTGTACAGCAAAACAGATCTCCGTCCCATTTGCTGCATGAGCCTGTTGCAGCAAAAATAGACTTCTGATACCTTTGAGACTAATGAGACTTTAGTCATTACTCCGGCACAAGCTTTTGTGGCCTGGAAGAACCCATTTCATTGGAGGCACGCAACAAATCCTCGCCAGGACCCGCTGCCTAGAAGATTATTAGGGGAATGCAATTTAGCTTGCAAAAGGCATCTAAATTACGTATCGGGGAACCCGATCACCGATCTCTGGTTTAATGTGTACTTTGGCCTTAAGTTCTCAGAACTCAGTTCTCCGATGCCAGCATTTGTACACTTGCTCGGTTGCATTAGAAGAAGGAAAAATGAACAGCCTCCCACAATGCACCTGAACAAGCAGTAACGGGAGAGGAGTGCATGGAACCGATACTCAAATAATTAGCATGCTTGAAGACCGAGCTAAGTGGAAAAAAAGGAGACTCAATGGCCACAGTGTATTAAAATAAATATTATGGCCTTTGGGACCCCCCCAGTGTTGCAAGAGAACTTTGGCACAGAAATTTTCTTATTCAGCCGTTCTGGCCGTTGCCTGAGAAATCTGATGTGAATAAAGCAGAAAACACTGACCGCTTTAAATCAAAAACCGACCCCAGACACGTCGTGCTCTGCTGGCGCTCGGGCCATCGAAAACCCCATTCAGCGAGGCTCTCTAAAGGACCTCAGCCTTTTGTCCACCTGTCTCGGACGGGAGGACTTTTTGTTCATATTTGTTAACCTCTTTTTCTTTTCGGTGTTAAAAAGCATCTGTCAGCAAGGAGATAAAGGAAGGTGCATTTACGGCCTCTCTGTACAGACCTGGACAA